GCCAGTTGGACTCAGACATACAAATGATCCTTGAGATCATCGAGTCCAATCATAAACCCAACATTGCCAAGTCCCCCACTAGATGATGTCCCTAAGCACCACATCTACACGTCTTTTAAATACTTCCAGGGGTGGTGACTCCACCACTTCCCTGGGCAGCCTCTTCCAATGCTTGACAACCCTTTTGGGGAAGAAATTTTTCCTAATGTCCAATCTAAACCTCCCTTGGCGCAACTTGAGGCCATTTCCTCTCGTCCTATCGCTTGTTACTTGGCAGAAGAGACCAACCCCCACCTCGCTACAACCTCCTTTCAGGGAGTTGTAGAGCGCGATGAGGTCTCCCCTCAGCCTCCTCTTCTCCAGGCTAAACAACCACAGTTCCCTCAGCCGCTCCTCAGAAGACTTGTGCTCCAGACCCTTCACCAGCTTCGTTGCCCTTCTCTGGACACCCTCCAGCACCTCCATGTGCTTCTTGTAGTGAGGGGCCCAAAACTGAACACAGGATTTGAGGTGCAGCCTCACCAGGGCCGAGTACAGGGGCACGATCACCTCCCTACTCCTGCTGGCCACACTAGTTCTGATACAGGCCAGGATACCATTGGCCTTCTTGGCCACCTGGGACCACTGCCAGCTCATGTTCAGCCGGCTGTCAACCAGCACCCCCAGGTCCTTTTCCTCTGGGCAGTTTTCCAGCCACTCTTCCCCAAGCCTGGAGCGCTGCATGGGGTTGTTGTGGCCAAAGTGCAGGACCCAGCACTTGGCCTTGTTGGATCTCATACAATTGACCTCAGCCCATCGATCCAGCCTCTGTAGAGCCTCAAGCAGATCAACACTGCCGCCCAACTTGGTGTCATCTGCAAACTTACTGAAGGTGCACTTGATCCCCCCAGGGTGCACTCGATCCCCTCAACATGCAACATAAAAAGGCCAATTTGACCTTTAAAGTCCCTGCTATCCTAATCGCTGGCCTAGAAATTCATACAAAACTTAAATCTATTTTGTAAGAAAAACACTTTTGCAGTTAAAAAAAACACGTGCAAAACTGTTATGAATAGCTCGGTGATGTTAGGGATGCCACGGATATTAAGCGGTCCACTAAGGTAATCAGAGGAGATAGGATTGTTGGAATGGTTCCTCCATTCCTATAGCACTGAACACTGCTAATGCTCTCTGAGCTCTGTATACCCTCTGCTAAGAGTACTTACAGTGCTTCCGTCAGTGGCAAATGAGCAACTGGGGAAAACACTACCTGCTTTAAATATATAAAGCTTTGCACTTGACTGATTGTACATGGACTTCTGTGGTCTCCGTTATTAAGTTGTAAAATCTGCAGTTAATATAATTAAATACTGTATTAAAAGACATACACCTGACCCAACTGCATGTTCAATGAGAACCACGTATATATCATCCTAAAAACTGTCAAGCAGTCTTAATTTTGAGTGGCATCTTTAGCTCCTTCTGTAATAAACTTTGGGCTAAATCCCCATCTGCTTTAATTTGGCCTGGATCCAGTGAAGCTACTGCAAATCCACTGAATCACTGTTGCTGATTTACGGTGTTATCAGAAGGAGCAGAATCAGGTTTATGATCTCGTAAAAATGTGATTTTTCTCTCATTGAAATCACTGGTAAAAATTCCATTCACTTCAGTGATGTATACCTTAATGGCTATTTCTAATGCACCATAATTAAACAAGGGTTTAAAAGGATGTCTGAATGCTACAGCTTCCTATACTGGCCAGATGATTTTAACAGCTCACTGGGGACAGCCCTGCTTCTCTATGCAATCTCCTCCATCCACCAGTCAGTTGCTCTCCCTCCTTTTTTGTTACCAACACTGGTTCTCATTATAATCTTACATGAGATACTGTATCTCAGTAGCCTGGAAAAAAACAGATCTCAAACTCCAGGGTAGTTTTCTGCCAGATTAGTGAGTTAATCAGTTGAAAGAAGGACTGACAAGAGCTGCAGTTAACGCATGGGAAGGGACAGCACGGGGTGAGGCAGGTGGGGAAAGCGGAGTTCCCCTATCTAGAGGCAGGGAGTTCTCATTTCAGCTCACTGCACTTGTAGATCTGTAGCCTCACATTTTCTGTAGAGGTGATTTTACTGCAGCCACGGCAGTGAGGTTTCCTGTACACTGAAAAAAATTCTCATGTTTTTATTCTCATTCTTTTTAATTGGCTCTACCCCATTTCATAGTATGTCATCCTGAATAGCTGATTGTCCTGAAGCCTTTTAAAAAGTCTGAAAGAAAAGAGTAAGACCCAGGCTAATAAAATAAAATGACACCACATTGTGGTTTTATTCCTGCTAACTTTACAATTTAGATGGAGTTTTCATAACGAGAAATCAGATATTAAAACTTCTTACGTGCATGGTTAAACATGATGTCAATTTTGACACTGACAGAATGTACCCCAATTAACTGGGAGCTGGAGGGTGAGGTTGCTAAAGCTCTCCCAGTTACAGAGCTTTTGATTATTAAGATAAATTGCTCATGTGCAGATGTTCCATGAAAAGTTGTGCAGAGCCAAAGTAGGTATTCTGTATATTTTTTTATGAACTATTAGATCAAGTGTTTGCAACGCATTAAGAAATTTTAAGAACTATCCCAAGTCCGATATAAAACATCAAGCCTTCTGCCTAAACTCTGCATAAAGTCTATCTTCCCTTAAACACACTTATAATGCAGCTGAATAGAAGTGGAAGTGTTGCTTCAGAATGATATACAGATAGATCATTTTCAGTTAATATTCACAGAAATTTCTTAGTATTGCTACATCAACTGATCCCAATGATCACCCGCTGTGGCCATCAGCAAAGAAGGCCAAAACTGTTGCCATCGGTTCCTGTGAGTTCTGGCCAGGCTGTCAATGTACATCGTTCTTCATAGCACATTTGGTAATATTTTCTTCTGCTGTTTCCCCTGAGTGAAATCTGGGTAACACAGCATTCACCATCTGGTAAATTTCTGTGGGCAAGATTTTACCTTTGAGAACTTCTGCCCGTTGCTGTTTATGTCACCATGCAGTGTCTTCAATAATCCTGGTCCACGTCTGATGTACTTAAAACCTGCAGTTAACTATAGGTGTCAACATGTTCCTCCTTCTCTCCTAAATCCAGACTCACTCCACCCCTTACAATTTTCATCATAAGCCAACTCTACCTCCTCCAGCCGTCCTGATTATGTTTTCTCCTCTGACTTCCCTTGAATTTCTCAAAATCTTTGTGATACTATTACAATGAGAAAGATGGATGGTTATTATGGTATATTGGTTCCTAGGTGCCACAGCTATGGTTTGATCCTTATTATAATTATCAATGTTTTTATGCCGGAAGTTTTCCCTTGTTTGAAGAGGTTAACAGACAAGGCAAAGCCCTATGAGGGAATTTAGAGTCACAAAGAGATGCAATCATTTCACACAGATCAGAGTCCCAATGGGGTATAAAACACAGTTTCCAAGTTCACTCTACTCATAAGGCATCTCTAGCCATGTCTCAATTAATAGTTCGTGTGACTCAAAGAGGAGCAAATTCAAAGAGCAAAACAGTTGGTACTGAGGACCCGGTTTCCATGTTATATATGAGGGTTTTGACAGGGAAGGGGTTCTTTCAGACTAGCTCTAGTTGAGTCCCATGGACTGAACACCCACTGGTGGTTGGCACATTTTAGATTTCCTCCAAAAAGAATCCAGGTTGGAAAGTCAGAACTTGCATTGTGATGTGAGTCACAGCATGAAACAGAAGGACTATTGGGAGATTCACTTCAAAAGTATATTGCTGATCCTCATTCAAATGGTAATTCTTGTTCCAAATAAGTAATTAAAGCAAGTGTTGAAAGCGTGTGAGGCATTTCCCAAAGAGAAGAGCTAAGATCTTTCCTTTCCCCACCTTGCAGACTTGATAAACTGCAACAATATTGGGAAAATACTGAGGATCAGGACAAAAAGCATATTGTTCACAACCCTTTTTATTTGATTATTAATTTGTTAAGATGTTTTAATATGTCTCCACTATGCTTCCTTGTCATACAGCTTACAGAAATTGGGAAAAAAAGACATCTTCAGGAACGAAATCAAAGAGAGAGAACAGAGAGGTTTTGTAGCGTGGGTTAAATAGTAGGACTAGCCTCAGGTTAAGAAATAGATTGGGGGGACAACATAGGTTTCTGCTTGTATTCTCCTGGAAAATCCCAGAGAAGTACCACATGGTTGAGTTGGCTTTTATTAGGAGTCCTTACAAGTAGGGAGGAAGCTTGGCTCTCAGGATGCTGAGAAGAGCTACCAACATCAGAGCTGAGGTATGGACAGGCTACCAAAATAAAAACTGATGTAGAGACTCATCTTCCAGTATTTCTTATCTGGGGGTTGGTCTGCGTGACCTCTTCTCAAAGCCCATATTTTAAGTGCCCTCCAAAATAACAGCAATCCACAGAGTTTCATCCTGTAAGTCTGACTGTGGAAGATTATTGATTATTTACCAAATCCTTTTGTTAAGATTATAGCTTGTATTGTGTTGGCTCCTGTCAATAGAGACAAATAGAGACAAACCATATTAAATGACTCAGTATCTGATGAGATACAATAGCTTGTTTTATCTTAGGAACCTATAACTATAGAGATGAAAATGAAAATAAAGTGAATAAATTTTCTCAACATGAATAAATGTACATGCATGAATGTCTGCATGGATTACGTTGCCTTTTAAGAGCCAGACACAATGGCCAAAGAAATTTAAAAATATAAAGCAATTAAGCAGTACATTTGCTGATGTGCTGCATTAGCTACATGGCAGAAGTTTTAATTTAGCTTATTCTAATTTCATCTTTGCTATGCCTTTGAAATATATTAGCACTCCTTTACATGTTTTCCTAAGCCCTTGTCTAAAAAGCTGAATGTAAATGAAGTGAAAGTAGGTACTTTGATCTTCAGTCTTGCTGGAAAAAGAATTATACGCATTGTCATATCAGCATATGATTTCCTCTTGAATATATAGGCTTTGCTGATCCACGGACTGCAATATCAAACATATCTCAAAGCGGTTTACATAATGCACTTCACATCTACATGAATGGCTCCATGTCTCAAGTACAAGGCTCTGCAAATGATCCTATCTTTGTACTACACCATGCATTTGTTGACAGGTGAGTTTAATTCTTCTTGGTAAACCTAATTTATTTTGTGTTTTTAAAATGTGTTTTTCACCTGCATTTCAAAACTGCAAATATTTTACATGTCATTACATGCACAGCATTTTCAGTCATGTAGAATTAAGCTCTACTATTATTTGAGAGCACGTGTCTTTCCTAACCTGTCTGTATGTTCACTGGATTAAGCATAATTTGAAAAGTTGACAAATGCATTCAGCTTTTATTACCAAGGTAAAAATAGTTCTTCAATGACGTCATAGTGATTAATATATATGGATGTGTATGTCAGGAAGTTTGGACCAAAAGTGCGTGACTCATTTTAACACAACTATAATCAGCTGAAGTAATTCCTTTACATTCTAAATGTCAGTGCTGTTTTAATTTCTATTCCATAAGGAAAATCCAAGCGTGCTATTCATAAATAAAGAAGAAAAAAATCCATATTTCAGTGTGACAAACAAAATTGTGACTGTCTCCTGATGAAAGAGAAGAGTACAGCTGTGCAGACTGAAAGGAAAGCAAACAGAAGGATATCATGTTTATTAATAAGAAAGGGTAGGGGAGCACAGTTTTGCAAGAAAAGAGAGAAATTGCTACGTTGAGGACAGCATTCCAAGATTTAATAGTGACCTTAGAAATTTCTGTGTTGTTATAATATTCTTCTAGAGAAGCTGGCAGCTCACAGCTTA